GTATTTAGGTTTGTCTTCTTTGTTCACAATAGCACTGCAGGAGTCCTTTGCGGGGTTCTTCTTGGTGGCATGCAATACTAGGCCATATTATATGACGCATATAGCCTAGTTTAAGTACTTGGGTACCCTGATAACATCAGATGGAAGATGTATTGAGGAATTTAAATGTCAAATAGCTCAAGCAAAGGCAGCATTTTACAATATAAATGAAGAATATTTTTTTTTTCAATCTTTCTTTGTCAGTTGAGTCGAGAAAGTGAATTCTCAAAAGCTATGTAAATCCTATATTGATATACAGAAGTGAATCACGGACAGTTAGTAAACTCGTGAAAACTTATTTGGAAGCTGCGGAGATGTAGTTTCATAGACGAATGATGAGAATACCCAGGATAGATGAAATGAATAACGAAGACGTCTTCTAAGAAGCTAATCACGAAGAGAACTGACTGCCCTCATCAGAAAGAGACAATCTAATTCTTTGGTCATGTGATTATAAGGAGAAAAACTGGAGTACATCGTGACAGTGGAAAAACTTGAAGGGGAGGAGATGCAGAGTGAGACCGAGAGAACAGATGCTGGACAGTCTGACATAATGACATGGAGGATCATCTTTTTCAGAGTTGATTGAAAGTATACGAGACAGAAGGTTGTGGATTGAATTGATTTGATTTGATTTGATTCAAGAATCGACATCACAGCACTCGGGGCATTCCCATAAGCGCCACGTCCTCATCTTCAGCAGTCAGCGAAGAGTTCCGATACTAATGGTGCCAGTAGCATTCTGATTAAACGTCCGTTTTGCCTTTCCTCTGAGCCTCGAGCATCTGCCAGAACCACTCGTCACCCTTAACTGCATCAATCTAACCACACTGTTGTGATCAATCTGCTCCTCCGAACTTTATAAGCTCTCCCACAAGGTACTAACCACGTCTGCCTTATCATGCATCAGTATTCCACCAAGCTGTGCTGAGCCAACCAGTCTGTACGCCTGTTCATTTCCCAACAAACCGGCATAGATTGGTGGGGGAAAAAATCCAGACAACACTCCTCACCCATGTCTTCCGCAGCGAGGCATGCCACTTTGCACAAAGCATGCCCGTCCTGATCTTCCTCGGCATGCTTTCTGAGTCAGTTACAATCACAATGTGTGTGTGTGTTCTCTAGCCAGCGGAAAGCCGCAGTGACCGTCTCCACCTCCATTCTTAAGCTAGATGTTGTGGTATCATATGCTTGGCTCTCCTGCACCAAACGTCGACCATTAACTTTTGCTAAGAAACACCAAGCACTTCTTTCGCCTCTTGACACTGAACCGTCTGTGTAAATGATCAAATCTTCAGAGCGAGCATCATCTTGAATTTATTGCTGAATTTCCACTTGTGGATGGACATGACTACCAATGCCACAAACTTTGAAAAGAAGAATAAGAACCTAGTCCCAATTATAGCCTAAAGTTCCCCCTTCAGGAATGCTGGTTAAACGTAACGATCTCCCCCCCCCCCCCCCTCCCCCACGGAAAGCATCAGGCAAGGGAAAATCCGCTGAACCCACCAGGGCGGAGAAATAAGAGCAGACCAAAGAATACACAGAGAAGGGAGTTAGAGGGTGAAGTTAATAAGATGAAGAGGGCATGTGGTGATCTGCATGCGATAGCAAAAACAAAAACAAAAAGACGATTTTGCGAGAACTGATTGTGGGCATATGCTCCATATGGGGCATAATGGGCAGAAGACGAATCAGGGGACATCATGCTTCATTGGATTGTAAAGACTGTATTCAACAATAGCCTCCCCTGACCATAAAACTTAAAAACTAGTTACGAAACCAGACAAAATACAAGGTCATCCACATGTCTGCTGCTCCAAGATTGTTGTTGTCTCCTCTGTGAGGTTCCTACAGTTGCTGCAGGTAGGCAAACATTATCCGGCAGAGATTTCACGCTAATGGGGTATTTTATGTGTATTTTAAAAAAAAATGAATGTGCCCCAATTGTGCCTAAATCAGCGGAAGCATCCGAAATGAGGTGCAAGCGTTTAGGAGATTCCTTATAGCCATCGTCAAAGTTTGGTGCTCTGTCAACAATCAGATAAGAAGTTCTAGAGAAGTGGGAATAAAAAGAGAGTTTTAGAAGAAATAAAAATGCAAATGAAATATTTTAGTCACATTAATGAATAAATGATAACAGAATTTTTATCACCGCACTTGAGACATTCCTGTACCTGCACTATCTTTTCTTTCTCAGTGTGCAACAAAAAGTTTCCATACTGACTGTGCCAGTTGCCTTCTGATTCAAAGTTGCTGGCATGGTGGGGAATGAACAGCCAGACAGATTGGCTTGATCTTCACTTTTGGGTGGTGAATTAGTACATGATATAGCAGGTGTAGTCAAGGCTCTTTGGGAACAAGTAATGAAACCGTTATGGCCTGGAGAGAATGAGGGACCTGGGTGTGACCTGAGGATCTGGCCAGCTCACTACACTGCTGCCTTCCGCTATCTTGAGAATCAGCTCTACGCACATGCCGCCATTGTAACTGACTTACAGAGCATGTTGAGAAAGGTGGAGACAGGCATGCTCCGTGCAGAGTGGCAAGCATCACTTCAAAGGTCCTGGGTAGTTAGCATCCTTTTGATTTTTTCTCCAGGTCATGCCAGTGTGTTGGGAAATGAGCAGGCACCACTTGGGGTGAACTGATGTATGACAAGCAGGATGTTGTGAGGGCCCTTTGGGAGCAAGTGAACAGTGCCGAGACACAGATAAATCATTACGGTCTGAAGAGAATGGCACTGCGAGGAGTTACACAGGGATCTGGCCAACTCAGGGAAAAGGCGGGACGGATATACAATAAAACAGTTACTGGTACCATCAGCTTGCTGCTGAAGATGGGGGTGGAGCACTTATGGGGGTGTCCTCCCTAAAGCTGTGATATTGATTGTTAATTAACATTCAACATGTTACTTTGCTTAACTTTGAATAATGGGTTTGATTATACACATATTAAAAGCTAGAAAACATTGTTCATGTTTTTAAAGATGTCTAAAGTAAAGGTGAGAAGATTGACTTCATTCCATTGAGTTTTATCTCATCCACAACCTCTGCAGCTCTGTTATTGACATCCAGGGATCTTTGAAATATCTGCACCTGTGAACTGAATAAAAGAGTCCAAATCTGAACCCATGACATCCAGAGCACAGGGCAAACAACTCACTTCACAATGTATACCCCCATTTGCAAATCTGGGTGTTGCTGATTTTGGCTTTAAAACAATAAACCTTGCTGTCTCTCTCAATGCTCCTTCAGGTCATCAGATAAAACTCATTCTATACCCATGTCTTTAACCATTTTGCCCTTTATTGCTGCTGATCTGTCATCCCCATCTGTTAAAGATCTCTGCAAATGCAGCAAAACTGACACTGCTGAAGTGACTTGTCACCGAGAAGCCTAAAGAACGGCTTTAATTCTTGTCGCACTTGTACAGTCTTTAGGAGACCCCAAATATGATTATATTTACTTATAATGGCTGTGCTATCAAATTAACTTAAAATAACATGGTACATAAATCATATATCTGGCACCCTGTACAGTTCAGCCATGTTTAATTTAACTTGAATACTTAGCTGACCTTGTATCTGTCATTTCTGGAGTCATTAAGATTTTCAGTCTTGCTATAGTAATTTTTCCCAATTATGTTCCGGAACCCCATTTTGGAAAAAGAAATAGACCCACTGCTTTTCTCAAGCGTTTCATAAAATGTAACTAATTGAAACTTTTCTTAAATCGTATGTGTTGGGCTGGAAAGTGTAGATATCATATCCTAGCTGTAAACAGTAATAAATGTGTCATATGGCCCTTTTAGTGGTGATCGCAGAAGAAGCTGTAGTATTTTATATAAATACATTGTCTAGGAATGGGTTTCTTCTTGTAGGGTCTGTTTATGCATGTCTTTAGTCTACATAGAAAATGTCAGAGATTTCTAAGTGTACTAGATCTTGCATCTTCCTCTTGGAGACCTGCTACATGATGATCATATATATATATATATATATATATATATATATATATATATATATATATATATATATATATATATATATATATATATATATATATATATATATATATATATATATATATATATATATATATATAAGATCACTGTTTCATATGGTGGGACCTTGGGGTGGGGGGGGGGGGGTTTAGGTTACATATGGGGTATAAGAGTTTTAGGAAAAGTTTAGGTATGGAATGGCACGCAAAAAAAAAGTTAGGAAACACTGTATTAGATGGATAGATAGACAGACAGATGCTAAGTTTTCCAATTCCTCCAATTAGTTCTTGTTAACCATCCTCAGATGTAAATATTTAAACTGATCTGACATTCTGTGTTTACAGATAAGGAAGATCACTACTTGCTGTATTTTTCTTTTTTTTGGCAGTGACCCCAGCTATTGTCATTATAGTATGGTCATCCATCCATGATTGGGGAATGATCCTCTGTCTGCGATTGGGAAACTTTAGACCATAGTTTCTCCATATGGGTTTCAGGGCCCCTTTTTGTGGGTGGGGTGTAGACCCACTGCCCCCTAACAAACATGCTGTAAAAGGTGACTAATTAGGGGTTTTATGAAACTGGGTGTGTTGGGCTGAAAGGCGCAGATATCACTGCCTGGCTGTAAACCACACCACAGTCACAGGTGAACTCAAAAGAAGTTGATGATATAGTCAACAACTCTGTGTCAGTTGCTGTCAAGCTCAGTCGACCACCTGCTCCATGAATTCACATTGCCCTGATAGAGAGGAAGAGGGGAAAGGCTCTACACTTGCTACACCTTATCTAAGGACGTCCCATAAGCTAGCAGAAGGAAGGATGTACTTTATTCACTAATACACGTCCATAATATTTCTCCATACATTTTAAGTACCAACATTTCTCAAAATGACACTCATAAGTATCGTCATTGTTAACTTAATTTTATTTCAGTCTCCTATTATGACCGAAACATAATGTCGAGAGGAAGTGACTTGTCGGGTTTAATTCGAGGCCTGCAACAGATAGCTCATGCTTTGTGGGAGCACCGTAGTGGAGAGCTGACCAGAATCTGGAAACATTCAAGTGTTAGAGACGTACTGCACAGTGCTGAGCTCAAAGTAGAGAGAAAGATCACTGATGCAGCATCAGCAAAAACGGAAGCTGTTCAGGTTATTTTACCTCATTTTGTTTGATAGGATAAATGAATGGCATTTGGTATTTTCTTGAAAATAAAATTATGCATTGTTAAATAGAACAACGCTTAGACACCCAAATGTCTCCCTTACAGCAAATGATTAATAGCATATTTATCCCTAATTTACGTTATCAGTGCCAAACATGGACAATGAATAAGGCACTAAAACAGAAAAACCCACACGTGAACTGCACTGTCTCCGCAAGGTTGCTATCAACACTAGACGAGACAGGGTTACGAATATCAGCATTAGAAAAAAGTTGGAATAAGACCATGTCTGAAGACCATGTCTGGATTATATTGACAGGCAAAGAATGAAATAGTTCGGTCATCTAGAGAGAATGCAGCCGGACCAGACTGCATATGAGTCATTTTACAGTAGAACATCTGGGAGGAAGGCGAGAGGAAGACCAAGAAAGAAATGGATAAATGGTGTAAATGAAACCTCAAAAAAAGATGAACAGGTCCATCACTCAAGCCACCCGAGAAGAGGAAGACAAATACAGATAACCACAACACTGGGCTACAATCTGGTATCGGTAAGACGACAAAAGAAGAAGAAATAGAAAAACAAAGGAACATCTGTTCATGACAGAGTACTTATTGTACGTGTCACTTTGCTGTTTACGCGCTGAAATTTTTGCAGATGCATCTGAGTTTAAGCACTTTGAGAAGCATTATCTAAAGAGAATTTAGATTGCTACTGAATAGCTTCAAGTACAGTTAAAATAGTTTATTGAAAATCTTGTAGTAAGTTGGACTCATAGTATGCTTGCTACCACTGGATTAGGATTGACTCGTACATTTGTAGTTTTGTTTTGTTGTTTGGCTCATAAGGTCAGTTTTGTTTGATTTCACTATAGTATGTTTTACTCAAAGAGTCAGTCTGATATCACTATAATATGTTGGACTCAGTGAGTCAGTTTTTTTTATATCACTGTTGTATGTTTGACTCATAGAGTCAGTTTGTTTGATATCACTGTAGTATGTTTGACTCATAGAGTCAGTTTGTTTGATATCACTGTAGTATGTTTGGCTCATAGGTCAGTTTGTTAGATATCACTATTGTATGTTTGACTTTTAGAGTCAGTGTGTTTGATATCACTACAGTATCTTTGACATAGCGTCAGTTTGTTTGATACCACTGCAGTATCTTTGACTTATACGGTCAGTTTGTTTGATACCACTGTAGTATGTTTGACTCAAAGAGTCAGTTTGTTTGATATCACTGCAGTATCTTTGACATAGTGTCAGTTTGTTTGATATCACTGTAGTATGTTTGACTCAAAGAGTCTGTTTGATATCACTGCAGTATGTTTGACTCATAGAGTCAGTTTGTTTGATATCACTGTAGTATGTTTGACTCAAAGAGTCTGTTTGATATCACTGCAGTATCTTTGACATAGCGTCAGTTTGATTGATATCACTGCAGTATCTTTGACTTATACGGTCAGTTTGTTTAGTATCTCTGTAGTATGTTTGACTCAGAGTCAATTGCTTGATATCTCTAGCATGCATAACTCATAGAATCTGTCTGTTTGGTATCGGTGTCATTGTATTACATTTGACTCATAGTGACGGTTTCTTTAATACCTGTATGGTAATTAGGGAATTAGGTAATCAGAGATCCTACTTCATGGTATTTTGAATTAAGAATCGACATCACAGGATCCAGGACACTTCCATAAGTGCTCAGTCCCCATCATCAGCAGCAAGCGAAGAGTTCTGAATCGGACAATGCCAGTAACCATCTGTATATCTGTCTCATCCTTCCCCCTGAGCGTTGAGCATTGGCCAGATCCACTGGTAACTCCTCGCAGCGCCATTCTCCTCAGAGCGTAATGATCCATATGCACCTTCACACTGTTCACCCATTCCCAAAGGGCCCTCACAATATCTAACTTGTCATACATCAGTTCACCACCAAGTGATGCAGAGCCAGCCAGTCTATCTGCCTGCTTGTTTCCCAACACACCAGCATGACCGGGAGAAAAGGGTGCTAACTACCCGGGATCTCTGAAATGATGCTATGAGCATACCTCACTCCATCTGACCCTGGCACAGAGTGTTTTGCTTTTTGTAATAGCCACCTGAAGATGGCATCAAGCACATAATGACCCTGTGGAAAAATTGACTCAGACTGCAGTCTCAGCAAACCCAATAGCATACACGTGCATCAGATGCATAGGACAGCCATCAGAAGTGTCAGCACAAATCGTCCGGCACTAGAAATACAGTTTGTCATTGATGGAAGCAGTACTTACAACAGATCAGTAGTTGCACACACAATTAATCTCATAAGGCACCACCAGTTCTCTGGCAACAGACCACTCACCATTTTCTGAAACTGCAGTTCACAACACAAACCGCAATGGGCACTGTCAAAAAGCATTCAAAATCAAAATGTGCAGCTTACAGTGTGACCTATGCTTTCAGCTCAGTAGCTGGGCGACGCAGCTATGTCCCTTTAGTCAACATATAGAGGAAAATGCAATGTCTGAATATTATCAGAAGCAAAAAATTGCGATGACTAAGAGTAGTAAGCCTGCCTGGTTCACCATATTAACCTGAAGTTTAGAATGTTCGATTTGAAAAAAAAAAAGATTTTGCAATAGAATTGACCAAAAATGTGTTTCAAAAAAAGGGTAGTATAGAATGAACTCATTTTCCCCATGTGGGTTCTGAGGCCCCATTTTGAGGAGGGATATTAGACCCAAAGCTCCTCAACATCATGTTGTAAAAGGGGACTAATTAAGGGCTTACTGAAATTGTATGTGTTGGGTTGTAAGACTGTGGCTTAGCTGTAAATACCATTGCAACGTGCCAGTCACCATTTTAATGTTGCACAAAGAAAAAGAAGAATAAAATATGTATCACATTGTGTGTGTGTATACACATATATGTGTATATACATATTTATGTGTATATATGTATATATACACACGTATATATATAAAACTCATAGATGTGTATCTTATATAGGAAACTATACAGCGGACAGTTAACCAAGGCCTGGAGACTATCAGCACAATAAAAAGTCAAGCGTCAACGCTAGCCACTTCTTTGTATAGAGATTCTCATGACTCAGAGGTGTCCAGTTCATCCTTAAATCAGAATACAAATGCGGCAGTTTCTAGCAACATTCAGGACAGGCTGTCTGAAGCATTTATCATTCAAGCTTCTGTTTTTTCAGAAAGTGAAGGTATTTAATTTTATATTTAGAAGTTAAGCATTTTCATAGTGTGTTATACTTCACTGGTTTTTGTTGAATGTATAATTGTAGGTAGAAATCACTTATTTGTTGCCAGAGCAGTAAAGAAAAGTAGGGGATTGTGGCTAGACACCTGTCTAATGGCCTGATGATCTTGAGTTAGAATCTGTATCAATATCTTTTTTCTTAAAGCTCATGCCGTGTGTTGTTGGTAGTCATCTCTATTCAAGAGCTTCTGTCTGTACTTTCAGTCAACTCTGAAACAGATGATCATCCATGCCATGATGTCAAACTGTCCAGCATCTTTTCTCTCAAGTCTCCCTCTGCCTCTCTTCCCCTTCAACTTTCCTACTGTTACAATATACTCCAGTTTTCTTATTTTCTTTACATGACCAGTGAATGTAGATTTTCGCTTTCTGAAGTCAGTTCTCTTCGTGAGTCAGCTTCTTTCAAAACATCTTCATTACTATTTTTTTTTTTTTTTTTTATCAGTCTAGGATATTCTCATCATTTGTCTATAAAATCACATCTCCGCATCTTGCAAATAATTCTTCACTAATTTACCAATTGTTTATGATTCATGTTATCCGGATTAGTCTTCCCAGTTAGTTTTATGGGATATTTTTTAGCCCTATGTGTGTGATGACTTTGTCATTCACAGATCTACCAGTGTTATCTCTCCATGAGCTGTTTAGGACAGCTGTGTGCAGCTCGATCGACCTTCAGGGAAGGCAGGAGCAACACATGGGCATTCCCTGCTATCCAAGGATGCTTCCATAATCTAGAGCTGATACATGGTGCTCTGGTACTGGGCTCATCCAAGGAAAAATCAAGTTCTGCACATGAAGCTTAATCTCACATCCATATATTGAGCCTTTCAGTCATTATGGGCTGCACCTTTAGGGATCCCCAGTTTGCAGACCTGTGACTCTGATACTTTGCCAAATTGGCATCTCACTTTCTCAGCATGCTAGACTTCTTTCTTTGACTAAAATACCTTTCACATGGATGCCTCGGACAAATTTTGCGGCATTTATGGGAAGTATGCGTTAAACATGGCTTCCCTCTTTTATCCTTACACTCCCGCAAGTGTGGCTTTCGTGACAGATGTTTGAACCTTGTGTGTCACAAAGTAGGATCTTTGAGCTAGGGACATTTGAATCTTTGCTGTCATGCAGTGGGATGCTCGATGGATGAACATTTGAACCTAAGAAGCCATACACTAGGAGTCTCAGTTGGCGAATGTTTGAATTAGGTCATATAGTAGGCCTTTTGGATGACAGATATTTGAGCCTCAGTTTGTCATTTATATATAGGCCAGTGGACTTAACTCATTTTCTTCTTCTTCGCATTCACTGGTTGTAAACTCTGGAGGAAAGTTCTGGTGGTTCGTCCACCTCCTAACTGTAGTCTTGCTCCAGAACCTGAATGTTGCATGCACATCCATTTTACATAATTATTTGTGTGCAGACTCTCAGTTCCTTGCCACTTAGCCAGATGCACTTCGACTTCAAAGGAGGCCCACCAGTTAGTCTACTCTTACGACGTGCTTGTTGGGTAGGCAGTGGGTCTATTCTTGTTTTCCCCTCAATGGAGCTCTGGAACCCACAAAGGGTACTTATTTTTTAAATGAGTTTTCCAATGTATGTTACCACCCATGCTAGCAGTTTATTTATAAGCCATCTTATCCCATGCTGTATACTGCAGCTCCCTTATGTCCCCCCTATCACTTTGAAATCTCTTCTCCCATGTTATTTTTTTTTTAAAATAGTTTTTCTGTCTGTTTATTTTTACTGGGAATGAACTTTATAGTTACAGTTTCTTTTTCAGGTTTGTTCTCTTCCAGAGCACATTGCTTAGTGTTTTGAAAAGCTTCTTTAGCTTGCATTTTAGGCTGCTAAATACATTCACCCTTTTGACCCCTATAAGCCAGCTAAAAAACACACACACACATATACAACAATTCTGGCTGGGTCAAATTCCCTATTATTGTTATCTTGTGGACTTTCTGTAGTGACAAGATTTGTGACAGACATAGTTGATTCTTTTGGCTGAGTTCACCCCTGCTCAATTGTTTAAAAAGTCAGGATATTAATACGTTAATACAAGTGCGTCTGCATGAGAGGTGAGGAACTAACAGTCTGCGTAAAATTAGCCAGATCTGTAGAATGGGTGAGCATAGAAACCCCAAATTCTAGAACTAGACCAGTGTCGAGAAATGACGAACAACAGGAACTTTCTTCTGAGTTTTATAGATGGTAAACGCTAAGCAGAATAAAAAGATACCTCCTCAGTTTTTGGGTTATCTTTGTTATTTATCTTTTATTTTCATTTTCTTTTATTTCACTGATCACTAAAAAAAAAAAATATTCTTTCTAATATTCTTCGTTATGTATTGGAACTTTACCAGGTTACAGTTGTATTTATAGTCAGATATACTATGTCTGTGCACTGTGGGATGAAGCTATCATGCTCTGTCAGCAAATTCAACATGTCATATATCCCTCAGAAAGCAATGGCAGTCTCTTTTCATTTTCTAGCACCACAGCCGCCACTTTCGTCTGCAGTTAAAGAAGAGCCTGTTGATGCCAGCCGTGCATCTACTTCTCCTCTGCAAGAAAAAGAATCCTCAGTCAAAACAGCTAAACGTGTATCCGGTTCCCTTCAAGAAAAGGCTGATAAAGCAACTACTGGTAACTTTTGTTTACCTTTATGCTTGAAAAATAAACTTCTGATTTTGTGTCTTTTCTTTTCTATCTCTTGTAGTGCTCTTCTTTCCAACTATTTTTTAATGCTGAAGATAAGGACAGAGCACACATGGGAATGCCCTGAGGGCTGTGATGTCAATTCTTCATATTTAAAGAAAAAAATGGGAACTCATGCAATGTCTGAAACATTTTAATACTTCCTTTATTCTGTGTGTACGTAAAAACAGTTGAGTTGATACAAGAACCAACATCACAGCACTCTGGGCATTCCCATAAGCATTTCATCCCATCTTCAGCTGTCAATGCACGGTTCCAATCCCAGCGGTGCCAGTAGCAGTCTGATTATATGTCCAACTTGCTATTCCTCTGACTGTTGAGTATCGGCCAGATTCCCTCATCACTCTCATCATACTGTGATGATACATTTTCTGTTCTACATTGTACATGTGCTCCCATAAGGCCTCAACCATGTCTGCCTTATTATGCATCAGCATTCAACCAGGTTGTGCAGAGCCTGTGAATCTGTCCACCTGTTATTTCTCAATGTACCGGGATACTACAAAGCTCTTTACCCTTGACCTCCGAAGGGAAGCATGCCGCACTGCATGGAGCATGCCTGCCTTACTTTCTTCAGCATGCTTTCTCAGTCAGTTACAATTACGATGTGTGTATAGGGCATGGCGCGCACTTGTGCTTGATTATAGTGTTTTCTAGCCAGTGGAAAACTCCAGTGACTGCTTCCACCTCCATTCTTATACTGGATGTTGTGGTATATGTTAGGCTCTCCTGCAGCAAACGGCGACAGTTAGCTTTTGCCAAGAACCCTCAGCCACTTCTTTTGCATCTTGACACTCAGCCATCTGTATAAATAATCATGTCACCCAAGCGAGCATTATAAATACATTTGAAAGACTTGTTCATTCTGAACTCCTGCAGGTTTTCTTTTGTTCGTTTCCCCAGACGTCATTTTCCCCAGTCTGCTGGTATTTCTTCAGTACCCCATGGCTCTGCTTAATAATTTGTGCAGTAATTAAGCTGGCATATTCATGTCAATGTTAGTAGCTAGACCTATGATACTCTCTTGGTTAGCAACATTCCCATCCTTGAAGGCTGGCAATGCAAGTGGAAGAGTAATGTCAACAGATGGACAGGATCATCATTCTCAGAGTTTACAACCAGGACGACAGCAATGGTATTAGAAATTCATAGCCCCCAAACTTCATTGGGGAGATGACACCTGATTGATTTATTGATCTGCAACTAAGATACTTATGATCTTTGCTTGCACTGCCATTATGAAAACCTGTTGTTATTATTATGTGCCTAATAAACACATGGATAAGAGATTTAGAATCAGAGATGAATAATATTGGGAGGTTGTGGAGGGAGCTACAGAAAATGACAAAACGGGACAACTCGACCTGAGCAGGTTAAGAGCTTATACTCCCAACAGCAAAAAAGGCAGTCGGTGTGAAAAAAAAACACATCATCATTACTCTCAAGATATAATTTGTGGGTCTTCTGGTCTCCTCTCTAGTAAATCTATCTACACGCTGCGTCTCTTACACAAGTCTGATATGAGAGCGAGTTGATACCTGAGGAAAAGACGGATTGATGACATGAAGACACGTCTATAGGGAATGATAATGGCCAATGCTGCCCATTGAGCACTGAAAATAGTTCATTCCCTGCTTGATGATACAAGTGAAAGTTGACGATACTAAACCTTATGGCATGAAAAACTTGTCCTTCACAATGTTTTGTCTGTAGCCCAGTTTCCTAACTTTTCATTCTAGTTTTCAGTTTTTACAGTAACACCGTTATTTTCTGAAGGTTGTTTGTTTAAAGGAAACACTTTTACTGAACAAATTCCTCATTTGTATCTAAAAGTCTATGATCTCCTTTCTTTGGTTTTCTGGGGGTTTTCCCCACAAGGCATTCTACTTTTCTTTTCTTTTTATATTTTAATCGTGTCAACAGTAGTAAGATATTGCTACCAGCAGATTAATAGTCTTCAGTCTGAGCTTAGTACACAGTTTAAAACAATGTACGACACAGCAGGTGTAAAGCTCATTGAATATTGCTGACACCAGTTAGAAACAGGTCACGTTGTATTTTACTAGGCAAGGAACCATAGAAGCAATGATTATGTGTGTATGATCTATTGGCCTCCTAAAACCAAATACTGCAGGGCTCAGTAGAGGGGAAGAGGCAGACCAAGAAAGACCTGGTTACAGAACCTGACTGACTGGACAGGCCTCAGGCATGTAACCATGAAGTCCATCGCAACCAACCGCCAAAAGTGGAGAGAGCTGATCCCACAGACAACAGAAACTGATGACCCATTGACAATAATGAATAATGAATCATGAAACACAGCCTCCAGTCTCATGTTTTGTCAGTCGTTTATAATGCAGATGTTCTTCCATTCCATGATGCTTAACTGCTCAACATCTTATCTCTTTTTTCTCCCTCTGCCTGTCTTCCCTTCCAGTTTCCTTGTTGTTGTTTAGCACCTCTCACTTCATTTTTTTCCCCCAAGACATCTTTATTATACAGTGGAACCTCGCTTAACGAGCATAATTCGTTCCAGAATCATACTCGTTAAGCGAAACACTCGTTATGCGAAACAATTTTTCTCATATAAATTAATGTAAAATACGATAATGCGTTCCATGTCGAAAAAGATACTCAAAAAATGCTATGTATAACGTTTATTCAAAGAAAATTATATACATATTGTTAAAGAGAGTGGATCACCTTCACTTCAAATGTGTAAAGAACCCACATGGAATGGGATATAGATTTGCAGAAAAAAAAAGTCAAAATAACTATGATACATAGCTAATTATTTATTTTTTTAACTAGAAAGATGTCCAGAGATTTGTTTTTGCCGACGCTTCAAAATTTGGCGAAAATGCGACACAGCATTATCATTAAATAAATTTGCAACGCGCATAGCCACTTGCTTATTAGGGCGATGCTTCTCAATGTAAGATGCAACAGTTTGCCATGCTTTCAGCATTTCTCTTTTTTCGCCAGAAAATTGTTGCTTTTCTTTTACCTCCTCCTCTGACAACCTTTCCTCCAAAACCCAGCTCTTGGCTGTGCTCTTCCACAAGCTCTTTGATATCACTGTTATCCACCTACAACCCCAGGATAGTGGCCAAAGACCCAATCTCGTTGACTACAGGTTTCACTGTCTCGAACCCCTCAAAGTCACAAATAGACAACACTCTCCGGCCAAAGCTTCTTCCAAGCAGAAGTTAGGATTCTCTTGGTAACCTCTTCTCCCACCTTGTCGATCATCTTGAGGCAGGCAACGATGTGGATGTGATTTTTCTCTAAAACCCTTTGAGAGTGAGGTTGGTCCCTTCAGTCACATGAAAACAATGCTCGAAGAGTGCTTTAGTGTAGAGTTTCTTAAAGTTAGAAATAACTTGTTTGTCTATAAGCTGGAGTAACGGAGTGATGTTGGAAGGCAGAAATTGGATCTTGATGAACTTAAATTTTTCAGAGAGATCATCTTGTAGGCCTGGAAGATTCATGTACATATATCACAATATAACACAAGTTTGAGAAAATGTGTGATCACAAGTGACACTACGATGCTACTGGAACGAGTGCTAAACACAGACTGATTTAACATGCGCACAATTCAGGACTTCCCCTCTCCTCGCCACTCGTTATGCGAACCGTCACTCGTTAAGCAAGTCATTTTTTTAACAATTTGTTTTGCTCGTTATGCGAATTACTCGTTATGCGAATTACTCGTTATGCGATGTGCTAGTTAAGCGAGGTTCTACTGTACTTTTCATTTTCACATCATTCTTCTATTAAATCGTATCTCTGCAACTTCCAAATAATTGTTCGCTGTTTGGCTAATTTTACATGATATCTCTATACTTCTTAAGAACAGTCTCACCTCAGTTGGCAAAGATAGATTGCATCAAATATACTCCATCCTTTAACATGCTGCCTTTACAAGAGTGATCCTTTTATTTTTCTGTAATCCAGAAGCCATTAGTTGTAAACCCTTTGGCTCGGTACTATGGATATCACAACCCTTCGTTCTTGATTCCATAATAGATACTGTAAATCTGAAAAATATTCGGGTTTTCTGCCTACCCCAAGGGTAATCTTGGACCACAAGGAGTTTATCATGCGGTCGCAGTGCTTCTGGTTTAACCAGCTTAGCTAGTGCATTCTAAATGTAACCTCTAATGCATTTTCCTTATATTTAAAAAAAAAGTTGAATGTAGAATAGCTCAGTCAAAAGCAGCATTTTACTCTTCAATAATTTCTACATCAACTTTTGCCTACAGCGGTTTGAGCATATTAGACATTTAACATTTGTTTCTACACTTTTCTTATACATTAACATTGGACTAGGTGTGCAGAGAGTGGCCAGCAGGTGCTACAGAGGTGGAAGTCCAACAGTTGATTCACGGCGATTCACGCCCAGGTGATCTGATTATCTATACAGATGGTTCAGTGGTGATAGGAAAGAGAAGTACCTGGGGGTTCGTAGCAAAAGCCAATGGAAAATCTTTAGTGCAAGACAGCCTAGCATACGACATCACAACATCTAGCATGTAATGGAGGTGGAGAAGGTAAGAATGAGGCACCTGAGTGTAACCAGAGGGTCTGGTCGGCTCACTACACTTAGAGGAAAGGCAAGACAGACAAATGACCAGATTGTGACCGGTACCAATAGTATTGGAACTCTGCGCTGACTGCTTAAAATAAGGACAGAGCATGCATGGGAATGCCACGAGTGCTGTGATGTCAATTACTGACTCAAATCAACTTAACTTTGATACATTACTTTTCTTGGATATCTCTCTTCAGACAACAGACCTCAGGTCAGTAACCCAGAACCGGTGTCAAGTCCACCTCCCAGAGTGAATTCTGTTTCATCAGGGCCAAAACTTGGTGACATGCCCATCAAACCAAGAACAACCCCTCTGCCTCCACCTCAGAAGGTATTTTACCATGTTCTTGTGAGCACAGACCTGATCCATAATTGTGTTTGTGGGGGAAGACACTAGTGTCATAACCTTTAGAGTGTTAACAGTATATGAAAGGGTAGTGAAGAGATCTGAGATATCTGAAGAGAGTAAGATTAGGTGTGTTAACCAAACTCCCATGGAGAACTTCATTTGCAAAATGCTATCAATCGTTAACAGATTTTTATTTAAAATAATATGAAGAAAATATGCTGGTGTTGGATACGGCACTTGTTGAAAAAACATTAGAACAATATAGCTAGAATGTCTCTACACTGGAACTCACAGGGGCAGGGACTTAAAAGGCAGATTTAAAAAAAAATATGTGTAGAAAGGAGCTTGGGAGTGAAGTTAAAATGATGTCGAGGACATGGGTGAGCTGCATGAATTTAGCAAAATAGAAGACGACTGGGAGTGAGTTCTTCAAGATATAGGATTTGGTGGGAAATTGATCAGGAATAAACCGAAAGGCTAGAAGACTAAAAAATAATGCATAAATGCATCAGTGTGTTGAGTATAAAAAAGCAACACTGTAATCTGACAAGCATAGAAGGCCAACAACATAAATTACCAAATAGCGCCACTTTTGTGGCATCAAACTTGCAACATGCGGACACAAAAGCTGCTGATAAATGTGCTATTCATATCAACTTTTTGCTATCATTGTCAAACAGGAATAATCCTAGAAAAAAGGTAAATGCAAAATTACAACATATGAGATGAGATGTGTAAGAAAAAATAAAGAAGAGAGAATCATCAGTGAAGAACTAAGAATAGTGATAAGCACAGTACCAGTAAATGATAAACATCAAAGAATCAAATGGTTTGGCCACCTGGTCAGAAATGGAACAAATACTACAGAAACACAATATGACCTTAACACAAGCTACACAACTTACAAAATAAGACAGGAAACTACATCTAACTCCTTTCTTTTATGCTTTATAGCATGAGCAATAGGACAAAAGGAGAATAAGAACCTAATGAGCATGTCATAAGAGGTGACTGTGGAAGATTGGCATGAGACTGTCTACCTCATCCCACAGAGATTAGTTGCAGAATCTTAACATTTATTATAAAATGCTTTTTTAATGCTCATGTTCTATTGATGGAATAAAGGCAAAATAAAAAAATCTATATCAGCGATAAATGAGGGAAGAATGTTCGAAAAGTGAAGGGGTATTAAAAAGCAAAAGGTTTGACTTCCTTGCACTTGGTTTTTATCATAATGTTTGGTCTCTCTTAATATAGCAGCTGCTCACCTGTTAAGAGTGGGTGCACTAAGCTCAAACTACGTAGCTCCAGCAGTGCCCCCCCCCCCCCCCCCCCCCACATTTCAGTCTTGCACTAGGAACCAGAGAAGATGTTCTGAAACCAAACCCACAGCTTAGCATATGGCTAATTTGTTGTGTTGGTTTAACATGAGGGTCTGTTTTATATTGTTTGCCCACATACAGAGGGTGCCTTGTGATGTCATTCCATACAAGGCATTCACCAAAGAGGAGAAGAACGTGGAAAGAACGAACAAACTTTATTTTGAAAGGGTCACAAATTGGGCACGCAGGCCCGTCTTACATTCGGCCCTTCCAGTCAACCATCTTTCGCACAGCAGTTGTATTTTACTAATAAAGCATGTTACGATCATATGATGATATGCATATTATGAATATTATAAAAGAACACAAAAGCATGAGTTGTAAAGTGCATGCAAAAACCTGCGCATGCATACATACACCCACATACACACGCTTACCCACTCACTTACACACACATACATACATGCATGCATACATTACATACATACAGGCATACATACATACACACATCAAGGTAGACCAAGAACAAAATGGAAAGATGACATCAGAGAAACTCTACAACAGCACAGTGTGTCTATGGTTGAGGCGGCCAGAACAGCAAGAAGCAGAACCCTATATCTCCCTCGATACCTGTAGCAGTGAAAGAGGAAGTGTAGAAGAAAAGATTTCTTTTATAGAAATATCTATTACAGTAGCTTTCTGTTGTGTCTTGTGTTTTTGTAGAAATGTGTATGTTTCATCTAATTCAGCTGAGTGATCGAGCAAAGGAGAGGCGTGTTCCAGCTTCTAGAGTTAGTCGGTTGATGAGCTATGGAGGTAAGTTTGCTCTTACTTTGACAGAATCATTTTTTTTTCTTTTTATTGTCTATTGATCCTGAAAAACTTTTTTTTTTTTTTTTATGTTCGTTTACGGTGAAAATTTAATCTTTTTGTCTTTTTAGCTGGCACTCTCGACTTTACCACATATCAGGACATGTATATACCCTGAAATATTCCTAAAGGGTAGTTGGTCTAATAGCTGTTGTTTGCTGCCAGTATATGCTCTTTATTATTCACATATTTTTGCCATTAATGCTAATTCTTCTAGAAATTTGATTATTTCCTCATGTTTGACACAAGTGTTTTAGTATAGTCTGTGGAGCATAAGTTCAGGGTTGTTTTGCACTATAGCTCTTTCCAGAGCTGTAGAATGTATATGGCATGGATTGTTCAATTTCCGTCTACAAACCAGTTGTTTATTACCAATTTCTGTGCTAATTTTGCTTCTTACTCTCATTATTCTCAGTAATACTTTGTCGTAAGACTTTTTATGCAATGACCTTCACATTTTAAATGTTCTATTTTACTTGGCAGAGCTATAAATATGGGTTTTGATATGTCATATAGATGTCATTGAGAAACTTTATTGCAGTAAAACCTTGTTGACGTTAGTATTTGTTTATGAATAATACATTCCTGCCAGGAACCAAAATTTTGTTCATGTTAACCGAGTTTGTATCTTATGTGAATTCGTGTTAGTGAGGTGTTAATATATTTTGATTCCAAAATATTTAAATATTTTAATCTCTGTTAGTGTCAAAACATGAGAAAAACTATAGGAAGTTAATGCATTTATAGAGTAAAGTAAAAGTAAACTAAAGATCCCTTTTCAGGCCTTTAGGCGCATCGTGCATATGGGAAGAGCACCCATATTTTTACAGACCAATCGGCACACGGTGGGTAATGTGGTCAGCATTACTCTGGCCGACTTTAATTCCTCAGAACAGCCATCCTGGTACCCATATTAGGCTGGGTCGACCTGCGACGCCCCATACCATGATAAAAATCCATGCAGCCAGCAGTGTGTTTCGATCGCGGTACGTTGGATTACGAATCAGACTAGCAATGCCTTAGCCACGGACGTCGCTGTATTTATAGAGTAGTGTGCTGTAATAGTGTATCTGTTAGTGAAGATGAAATTTCTGGCCAGGCTTAGAGCTTTGATTCCGTTTCTGGCCATGGATTTCTGGTAATTGCTGCACTGTTTCATGAATGTTACAGATCTTGCTGCAGGTCCAGGGGCTGGAGCTTTGACTGTGTTTCTGGCCATAGATTATTCATTGTCCTGTTGTGCCATTATATGTCACATAGGGCTCGCAGTTTTTATCTTCACTCTGTTCTGTCCTGCGCAGTCACTTTGGCTTCTCTCGTCAGCATACACTTTAGGATACTGTAGGTAATAACGGTAATTGTATAATTGTTAATGAACGTTGCAGTTCTAGGTTTTGAAACTTTAACTTAGTTTCTGACCATAAATAAGTGGGGTAATTATATCATTATTAATGAACATTGCAGATCTTTAAGTTTTGAAACTTTAACTTGGTTTCTAACCTTGGGTAACATAATTATATCATTGGTAATTAACTTTGCATATCTAGGTTTTCAAACTTTAACTTTGTTTCTGACCTTAGATAACGGATAATTATATCATTGTTAATTAACTTTGCAGATCTAGGTTTTGAAACTTTAACGTGGTCTGTGACCTTAGATAACTGGGGTCATTTATATAGTTGTTTTGTAAATGTTTCAGGCCTTGCTGCAGGTCTAGGATTGGGAGCTTTGACTGAGGTAACCAAAAGGTCATTTGGACTGAAGGAAAAGGGTAAAGTATACATTTTTTCTCCAAATTGTTTCCATTGTAGAGTTTCACAGTGACAGGCAACATAAGTCTGCTTTTTCTACTGCATTAGCCCTAAATGGGCTTGGCTGTAATGTGCGGACCTTTCGGCCGAACACATCCAATTCCAGCAAAACCTTTAGTAGTAGCCATTTACTGCATGCTTGTTGGGTGAGGAGTTAGAATGCCAGAAAAGAATTCATAGTGACTGCTTTGATTCTTTTTCTGAAAGTTAAATAATTTTGTCGGAAAAAAAAAAGTTAAAAATGGTCAACTAAACATAGTCCCCGCATGAGTTCCGGGCGAAAACAAGAATAGACCCGCTGCCTACCTAAAGGCATGTCATAAGGGTCGACTGACTGGGAGCTTCCTTCGTAGTCAAAGTGCCAGGGAGGAAAGGAACCAACAGTCTGCATATACGTGAGTCAGATCTCTAAAATCTTCTTCATCGCCTTCACCAGCTGTAAACTCCGGCGGAAAGTTCTGGTTGTTTGTCCACTTCTAGACTGCAGTCCGGTTCCAGAACCTAAGTGTTGCAGGTGCATCCATTTTACAAATTGGACTTATTTGTATGCAAACTGTTGGTTCCTTGCTTCTCAGGCAGATGCATTCCGACTTTGAAAGAAACTCTGAATTAGTTGACTCTTTTGGGGAGGCAGTGGGTCTATTCGTGTTTTTCCTATACTAGGGCCCAGGAACCCACATGTGGGACCTGTAAAATGAATGTTGCATGCAACACTCAGGTTCTGGAACAGGACTAGAGTCCAGAAATGGATGGACAATTAGAACTTTCCGCCGGAGTTTACAGCTGCTGACGCTACGAAGAAGAACTGAAAATAGGAAATACTTTTCCAGCCAAATGTGTGAACAAAATACATTGTTATTAATTAGTGTTGTGTTCATAAAGTAACTTGTTCCTGCTGTTAAAACCTTAAAATAAAATTTAAAAAGCGAACAATGTGATTGCATTTGTTACAAAAATAGTTACATAAATGATGATTTTAAACTGAATGTTCAGCAGAGAATTGAAATTCCTTCATTCATCTCTATTTGTACAGTGACAAGTTCTGGTATAATGGATTCAAGTCCTTTTCTGACGGAGGCAAATGCTGAGAGGATTGTCAACACTTTGTGTAGGGTTAGAGGAGCAGCTCTCAAGCTGGGACAAATGTTGAGTATTCAGGGTAAGAGATGACGATGTTATTTAGAGAGGTATTATATTATAATGTAAGGGAAATTATTTAGAGAGGTAGTGTATTATAATGTAAGGAAAATTATTTAGAGAGGTATTGTATTATAATGTAAGGGAAATTATTTAGAGAGGTATTGTATTATAATGTAAGGGAAATTATTTAGAGAGGTAGTGTATTATAATGTGAGGGAATTTATTTAGAGAGGTATTGTATTATAATGTAAGGGAAATTATTTAGAGAGGTATTGTATTATAATGTAAGGAAAATTATTTAGTGAGGTATTATATTATAATGTAAGAGAAATTATATAGTGAGGTATTATATTATAATGTAAGGGAATTTATTTAGAGAGGTATTATATTATAATATAAGGAAATTTATTTAACGTGGTATTATATTATAATGTAAGGGAAATTATTTAGCAAGGTATTATATTATAATGTAAGGGAAATTATTTAGAGATGTATTATATTATAATGTAAGGGAAATTAGAGAGGTATTGTATAATAATGTAAGGGAAATTATTTAGAGAGGTATTAAATAACAATTTAGGGTAAGTTTATTTGAGAGGTATTATATTATAATGTAAGGGAAGTTATTTAGAGAGGTATTATATTATAATGTAAGGGAAGTTATTTGGAGAGGTATTATATTATAATGTAAGGGAAGTTATTTAGAGAGGTATTATATTATAATGTAAGGGAAGTTATTTATAGAGGTATTATATTATAATGTAAGGTAACTTATTCAGTGAGGTATTATATTATAATGTAAGGTAACTTATTCAGAGAGGTATTATATTATAATGTAAGGGAAGTTATTTAGAGAACCTTTCCAGAAATCTGATCTGAAACAAACTGATCTGCAGATTCTCACGAATGATTTTGCAAACACATGCATAGAATTTGGACTCACCATCAATCTCAACATAATGTCAGTGATGGCGATGAAGGTGGTGAACCTACCAAGATTTAGCATTTACAACCATGAGCTGTTTGTATTACATGAGTTTGAGTATGTAAACTCTCAAATCACAGATTATCTTTTTCCTAGATGCAGAACTAAACAGATGAATAGGAAAGGCTTCTGCAGTGCTCTCCAAACTCACAAGAAAAATATGATCAGACAAAAAGCTAACAGATAGGACCAATATTAAAGTGTATATACTTGCACTGCCTACTGTTGCAGATAGGCTCAAAGTTCTGCAAGCAAAATCATATCTCTGAGTAGCTGCAGACAAAAGGCACCTCCTGCATGAAGCCCAGGGTAGAGCTAAAGGTCACAGACTGAAAAGAGGAAGGTCTCGGATGGCGCAAGTTAAAGACACAATCAGACATGTGTGCAGATTTGATAAATTTGAGCGAGGAAAAGAGTGGGTCAGAGTGTCAGAGCAAGTTTCAGGCTTGTGTAGGGTTTTTATCGCTTTAGGGACTGCAGTGACTGGCCAGTTGTATAGTTTTTAAAAAAAATGTATTGCAATAATGTCCAGACAGACCTGCAAACACTTGGTGTCACCAACTGGAAAGAGAAGGCCAACAGAGATGAGTGGAGGTGGGTGATATCTGCATCAATGAACCTCAAGGGCTCGAAATGTTGAAGAAGAGAATTCTTTCAATCATTGCAGTGAAATAATTATTATCTTCGTCATGTCAAATAATACTGAAAACACACAGGCAATTAATTTAATTTATGTTATGCTCATTAATACATATAAATTTTTGCGTCTTCTTTGCATTCGCCAGCTGTAAACACAGGCGGAAAGTCCTAGTCATATTTTGACAGAAATATGTTCATGATTTCTGTCCACATTTTCAGATAATTCATTCATCAACCCACAGCTGCAGTCTATTTTTGAGCGGGTACGACAGAGTGCAGATTTCATGCCATCGTGGCAAATGAAGGTAAGTTATATAGATGACTGGATGAGTTACTGTCTGTTCAAGAAAGATTAAATGTTTATGAAAGCAGTAAGACACAACAAATTAACAGGTAAACAAAAATAGCATCTTCTTCTTCGCATTCCTTTTCTGTTAACTCCAGCAGAAGGTTCTAGTTGTTTGTTCACTTTTAGATTTTATTCTAGTTTCAGAACTTCAATATTTTTTGCACATCCATTTTGCAGTTCTGGCTTATTTGGATGTAGAAGGTTGGTTCTTTGCCTCTCAAGCAAATGCACTCCGACTTCGAAGGAATCCCCTAATCAGTCTGCTCATACAATATGCTTGTTTTAAGGAAGTGGATCTATTCTTTTCTCCATAATGGGGCTCTGGAACCTATACGAGGAAAACATGAAAATGCAATATATGAATACAGAAAGCTTTTTTTTACTAGCCCAGTGGCCGATTAGAGTTCTCCATGATATAGAGACTAGACACTCACCTGCGGATCGCAAGATCTGGGTTTGGGTCCTGACGGAGCCGGATGTTTTCAGAAATGACCTTGGCTTCAAGGTCGACCTAGCCTTGAGTGAGTACCAGATATAGTCCTGGGAAGTAAAGGAGACAAGCGTAATGATGACCACTTCTCCCACCGAACGCCGAATGGTCTTTAAAATATAGGTCAACCCTATCTGCCTAATTTTCCTGGCGGCCTGGAAGAGGGTCCTTTTTACTGTGGCTGATTATCAGGATGTCAGGGACCCTTTTAACTCCTTTTCCTGAACTCCTTTCTGTACCATCTTACTGTCATCAAATTTATTTTTTCTTTGCTGGTAAATTCAGTTCTTTCTTAGCTTTCACAAACATGGAAGAATAATGACCTGCCAGATTGACAGACACTTATTATTTTTATTTTTGTCATAGTACTTATTGAAACTGAGTAGCTTTTGGTTTAGCAGAAGTTTTATGATGTCAGTTCTTATTAACATCAGGTTTGTTCATGCTGTTCTTATTCACAGAAAGCACTTAATAAGCATTTGGGGCCTGACTGGAAAAGTCATCTTTCAGAATTTGATGAAAAGCCTTTTGCTGCTGCATCTATTGGACAAGTTCATAAAGCAAGACTCCTTGATGGTAGAGAGGTAGCAATGAAAATTCAGGTCAGTGAACTGGTGGCATTTTAACATTTCAAGTTGTGCTGATTGTACCATCTTGCACTCACTTACTGAAACAAACATTATACTTAATATTTGGTGTCTCATAATTTTTCCTATAGAAATTATGCTATATCCCTTGCTATATCCAAAACTGCTGTATTGTGATTTTAAAAAAACATCAGTCAGTTGAATATATAAGAGATTGTTGAAAGGAAAGTTTGGTTTGTAAGTCTAGTCCATTGTTGAAAGGGAAGTTTGGTTTGTAAGTCTAGTCCATTGTTGAAAGGGAAGTTTGGTTTGTAAGTCTAGTCCATTGTTGAAAGGGAAGTTTGGTTTGTAAGTCTAGTCCATTGTTGAAAGGGAAGTTTGGTTTGTAAGTCTAGTCCATTGTTGAAAGGGAAATTTGGTTTGTAAGTCTAGTCCATTGTTGAAAGGGAAGTTTAGTTTGTAAGTCTAGTCCATTGTTGAAAGGGAAGTTTGGTTTGTAAGTCTAGTCTATTGTTGAAAGGGAAGTTTAGTTTGTAAGTCTAGTCCATTGTTGAAAGGGAAGTTTGGTTTGTAAGTTTAGTCCATTGTTGAAAGGGAAGTTTGGTTTGTAAGTCTAGTCCATTGTTGAAAGGGAAGTTTAGTTTGTAAGTCTAGTCCATTGTTGAAAGGGAAGTTTGGTTTGTAAGTCTAGTCCATTGTTGAAAGGGAAGTTTAGTTTGTAAGTCTAGTCCATTGTTGAAAGGGAAGTTTGGTTTGTAAGTCTAGTCTGCAGCTTATCCAACATTTTATTATGCTTTGTTTCTATTTTAAAAATTTCTTCATGTATAATTTTGTTCCACTAAAAACAGTTTGCAAATACTAACCAGTTTAACAGGAATATTGAAACTTCAGGGAAACAAATTTTTTTTTTTTTGGGGTGGGGGGGCCACATCCCTGTAAAGCAGCGGTTCTCAGCCTGTTGGTCGTGACCCCTTTGAGGGTGGAAGGACCCTTTCACAGTGGTCGCCTAAGACCATCGGCAAATACATATTCACTGAAGTTGTGAAGTAGCAATGACAATAATGTTGTGGTTGGGGTTACCACAACATGAAAAACTATATTAAAAGTTCACAGCATTAGAAGGATTGAGAACCACCTCTATAAAGGTTCTGGAACCAGCCTGCCGGAAGTGAATTGTTTCTGAGAAGCTTAGTTTAATGTTAGAGGTTCTTGTTGTGCCTGCACAGTGTTTAGGAGACCCCTGCATATGAATATGTTTACTAAAAATAAACTTCAGCGGTGTTATCTTGTGAGCCAAATAGCTTTCTTCTTCTATTCTTTTTTTTTAAATTCCAAGTTTACATCAAATTTTGCTATAAACTTCAGTGACAGAGGTGACAGGGTCACTACATGAGTCACCCCATACACTTTTTTAAGTCCCTAGGTAATGTATGTCTCTTATTGCTTCACTCTGTATCTATTGATTGCTTCACATATATATATCTCTCTCTTTCTCTCTATTTAAACAAAAATTAAAGCATGTAGATAAATACATTTGTTGAGAGCTTTTAAATTTATTTTTTTTTCAAATTCAAATGACCTGTATAAAATATTTGTTATTTTACTAAAATTCAGATGGTTTATCGCCCAGTTTTTTCTTTTAGTGTTCCCAGGACATAATTGTTAACATTTCTGCAGGCTTTGCCCCTTTGTCCTTATTCCCTTCCTGGTTTTTTTTTTCCACCACACAAGACTATCCATAGCAGCCTGTTCTTATGAATCGATCTAGTTATCTGTATTATTTATGTCTAAAGTATGTCGCAACAGCAGAAAAGTGAGGCAGGGGAGACAAAGAGAGAAGATAGTGGACATTTTACCCACTCGCCCGATGATCACTAAAGAAAAAGCATTGAAATTCCAGAAAAAATTCTTTAAAAAAAATTTTAAAAATTTCACGCAGGTCGAAATAAATTATTATACTAATTGTTTTTTTTTTTTTTTCAGTTCAAAATTTATAGAGATAAACAGGGTGACATATAAAATGGAGTACATTTCCTGGGATCTAAACAAAACAAAAAAGTATCAGGTGCCATGACCACATGACCTCTATCACTGAGGCTTACATGAAATTTTGACATCAACCTGACTTTTAAAAAGTTGTTTAGCTCAAAAGAAAAAACCCTAAATGCTATTTGTAGTTAATGGTTTGATATCTTGACCTCCTAAATGTTTTCGCTGGCATGAAAGCAGAGAATAGTATTGACTATGTAGTGTCTCATAAACAGGTCACTATAGACGAGAGAAAATTGACTTTTAAGCGGAATTGGAACCAACCGGAAGTATCAGTTTTGTGGCTTCTTGGGGTGAAAGGGTAGACAGCTTTTAATAGAGAAAGGTGTGTTTCAGAAAAAATTGACACTTCATAAGACCTAAATTGTGTTGTGCTTGGTTATTTCTGGACTGCAGTTCCCACTGTTAATGTCAACATAACTGTAGGCAGGTGCAGTGACCAAAACTGCATCGCAGAGACTACAGAGATGAAGAGCAGGATCTTCAGGGATAAAGAGTGAAAATTTAGTGGTGGCCAACAGTTTGAGACCACCTAGTAAATAACTGGTTTTTTTATGCTATTACCAAGTATTGTATCCTCATCTGATTTAGGAACCACTAAAGACAGTCATTGAAGTCTTCATCTGCCGTAATGCTGCAGTTAATGTATTACTCCATAATAGTGTGGGAATCTTTATTTACTAGGTGGTCTTAAACTTTTGTTCACCGCTATAGATTTTGTTTGTAGCAAATGCTTTGCATCCTTATAAAGCTGAAAACAATTAAATATTTTGACACATTCATTCCCTTTGTTTTAATCCAGTACCCTGGAGTGGCAGAGAGTATAGATTCAGACATTAACAACCTAATGGCAGTGATGAATATGTGGAATATTCTACCAGAAGGTAAGTTCACACGCTTTGGAAGTTCTCATGGGCCAGTAAAAAGTGAGTAAATGGCCCTTTTCCTGGCCTTCAGGCATATTGGGCTTATAGGCCTAGACCTATATTTTATAGACCAGTCAGCACTTGGTGGGGGATGTGGTCAGCATCACGCCGGCCACCTTTACTGCCCAGGACTGCACCTGATACCCACTCAAGGCTGGATCGACCTGGCAGCCAAGGTCATTTTTGAAACAAATCCGGCTGCATCAGGACCCGAACCCACAACCCTCTGATCCACATACGGGCCAGTTGACACTTATATCAGTTCTGTTACAGAAATGTTATGTCAAAGCTTCTTCTGCCCTAGGCCGGCAGTACATCCTAGAATGTTCATCATCAGTCAGCCAGTCCTTTACAGAACATCACTCTAGCCATGGTACGCCTGAAAGTCTCTCTCTTTTTTGTAGCCACTTCTCCAGCCCTATGTGCTTTCATAGCCAATGCATCTTCAGTGTCATGTATCTACTTTTACGGAGATCTGCCTCTGCCTCATTTGTGAGATGCCAATGTTTTTCTTATTCTTGGTCCATGGCATTACAAGAATATTTCCGTAGCATCTCACTTCAGAAGCTCTAATTTTTTCCTTGTTGATTGAACTCATTAAGTGATTGCTGTGACCCTCAGTGTCTGTTTTATTTAATCCGCAGGTTTGTATGTTAAAAGTATCATTGCTACTGCTAAAAGGGAATTGGCATGGGAGGTAGATTACATTCGGGAGGCCGAGTGTTCCAAAAGGTTCAGGTAATTGGTGTGCAATTTATTTAAAATAATTTTTGTATTTTTTTACTTAAACAAAATGAAGCAGAAAGTTTCAAATTCACCTTATCTTGAATACTAGACCTGACATCTAGCTTTTTTTAGTGTCAAGAATGTTAAGTAGTGGGCCCTTTGTTGGTGTTAAAATGTACACAACAGTTAGCATTTTTTTTTAAAGGAATTGCACTAAGAAACTTTTAGAATTAGAAAAACATGCAGCACCCTGGTAATTATATTCTTTGAAAATTCTTGTATACATCCAGTGGGGTTTTCTCTGTGAAGTTGATGCATTGAACTGAAGTTTTCGTATGATTTCTGAAAGAGATGTTCAGTTGAATAGGTAATTTCACAGTGAAGGAAGGTTTTCATTGATTTAAATCTATTTTTTAAAAGTAGATGTCAATAGGTCAAATCAGTACTATTGTATGGGGCGGAAACATGGAGAACAACGAAGGCAATTACTAATAAATTACAGACATTCATTAACTGGTGCCTGCGCAGAATAGAGGGAATAAAATGGTATGATAGAATAACTAATGTAGAACTTTGGGAGAGAACTAAACAGGCTCCAGTGGATCAGGAGGTGAGGAAAAGACGCTGGCGTTGGATAGGGCACACACTGAGAAAACAGGAGAACAGCATAACTAGAATGTCTTTGCATTGGAACCGACAGGGGCATAGGAATAAAGGAAGGCCAAAAAACACATGGAGAAGAGAGCTGGAGAATGAGGTTAGAAAGAGTGGGAGGACATGGGGAGAGCTCCAGGCAATGGCGAAGGATAGAACGACTTGGCGTGAGTTGGTTGAGGGCCTATGCTCCATTGGGGGATAGAAAGGCAGAAGAAGAAGAAGATGTCAATAGATTTCGCAGTGCAAAGAAGATTTTCCTGGACTGGAATCCATCAGTCTAAACAAATTTGTGGAACACCATTATGAAGTTGTTTACATACAGTGGGATTTATTTATTCCTTTTTTTTTTTGTTTTTTTTTTTTAAAAGTGATTTTGACGTTAACAGGGTTTAGAGCAGTAATGCAACAAGCCAAAAATTGACAATCATGTGTCACCAGTAAAAATGGAAATTGTCAGGTACCAATGTATACAGTTGAACAATTGAAATAATTAGAATATAAATACTGCTCACTAGCTGCTATGAAATATCTAGCTTGTGTCAGAGATACCTGTCCCCTATCAGTTCTCTATCAGTACTGTCCATGGTGAAGTTGTTAAACTGTTTTCCCTCAAACTCTGTAGGTCATTGATTCTGTTTCAAACTATCGTTCAATTTTTCAGAGATTCTGAGATTGTTGCTCAAGCTAAAGAAATTTGTGCAAAGCTTTCAGCTGGGGAGCAGTCTTCCTGCAGAAAGAAATCAAATTACAACTACAATCACCATCCCATCACATCTAAATTTTCGAAATTTAAATTCTCTCTAGAACAGAAAATGTGTCATACGCATGGAGGTGATATAAATCTAACATATAGATCTGTTGGATCTTGATCTTAAAATACTATAATAGTTTACCTACAGTGAATGCTGATTCTTTTGCCATGGTATCACTACAACTTAGGATTTTATTATTTAAGGTTATTTTTGTTTTCATTTAATTCTGTTTGTACAAATTTTGGTCATGTTAATCCAGAGACTTTGTAGTTGGTGTGGTTCTGTTTATGCCAAATATAGTTTTATTTCTTTTAACATCCTGTAGTAGAAGATGAGCAATGCAAAAAGGTAAACATGAGTTGATATATGATTGGTTCATTATCTCGGGGAATTTGCCAGTTATTCTTTTATTTTTAAAATTTATGTTTTTATTGTCCATTTCCAGAGAGCTTATAAAGGGTGACCCATTTTTATATGTGCCAGAAGTTATTGATGAACTGAGTGGGAAAGGTGTCCTGACTACAGAGTTTATCGAGGGTGTTCCAGTGGATCAGTGTGTTAACATGGATCAAGAGACCAGAAATAAGGTAATATACCAGCAGTACAGTCTGGTGAGGGAATTACTGTGGTGTGGCGGCTAGACGATCACCTGAAGATTGGAAGGTCATGGGTTCGGGTCCTCATGGTACCAGACTTGTGTCAAAAATTACCTTGGCTCCCAGGGCGACCCAGCTTTGAATGGGTACCAGATGGAGTCCTGGGAAGTAAAGGCAGCCGGTGTGATGTTGACCACATCACCCACCAAGTGTTGATTGGTCTATAAAATATAGGTCTAGCCTTATATGCCCTGTACGCCTAAAGGTGTGGAAAGGGACTTTAATTTTACTTTCTGATAGAATAATTCTCTTCTTCAAGCCTTTTGCCTTGCGGTTTGAAGGTTTTGGGTTTGTTTCCCAGATTCGTCGCTCAGTTCACAAGTGCAGTTTAAACGAAGATCCTGAGAGATCGGTGCTGGAGCTATGATGTTCATGCTTTGTGTGATGCTGTCAACAGGCGGCTAGCCATTCTTGGAGAAAGACCAGGCCATATGGGATAAAGCCCGGTAGTAATGAAGTTGATCCTTTCTTACACAAAATGACATCCGTGAGCTGACATTTTATTACAACAGAACAATAAGAAACAACACAAGTGTAGAGTCCATGAGGAACCGTGTAATGGCTTCACTGCATCACTGTTTTTCAACAGACAAAACTCCACGCCATGAAATGTGCCCAAGTGGAAAGCAATCTTGGTGGGTTTTTTTCTAGTCCGCCCTGGCTAAGCACCTGTCCCCGGGTCCTCATGACAAGATGTTACACACATGGCTCAACTGTGACAAGCAACAGAAGTATCTTTTGTCAATTTATGAGAGGCTGTCTGACCCTAAATTACTTAGTAGATGTGTTTCAGGAAAAACTCAGATTTCAAATGAGTGTTTGCGTGATTTATTTGTGACCATTTGAAAATAAAATTTGTTAATTCGTTTTATTGAGCTAAGGGACATGAATGAAGAATGTAAATAAAATAATATGAGAATCAACATAGAAAAGACACAAGTAATGTCAATAGGAAAAAGCAAGATTTAAACATAGCTTTAGAGCATACATATATTAAACAGGCATCTGAGTTTAAATATCTTGGAACAGCATTCACTGAAGATGGTAAATTGGACCAAGAAATTGACATTCGATGCTGTAATGTTAGCCAAGTACTGGGACAGCTAGCCCTCCTCTTACAGCATAAGGCAATCCCAATCAGCACAAAGAGACATCTCATACAAAGCCTATTCATTCCCACCTTATGCTGTCAGTGCCAGACATGGTCACTCACAACAAAACATACAAGAAAATTAGTAACCATAGAAATAAGGTGACTGAGAAAGGCTGTAGGAGTGACCAGAAGAGATAAAATCAGGAGTGAGGTCATACTAGATAAAGATTCTTCACAAAACTGATCGCAGTGTACTAGATCAGTTAGCAGGCAGCGATCACAGACCAGTAAAGCTTGTTGTAAATATGGATTATGTCCCACAGGAGCAGAAACCGTTACCTCGATGGAATTACAAACGAGCTGATTGGGATAAATTTGCTTTGCTGACAGATGAGTACTTTAAAAACATAAATACACGATATGGCAAAATGAAGACAATAGTAGAAAGTCTTAACAAAGCAATACTACAGGCAGCATATGAGTGTATTCCAAGAGGTGCGAGAAAAAAATTACAAACGATACTGGACCAAAGAACTGCAGATCCTGGAGGAAAAAGTCGAAGAGGCCAGGAAGACAGTGGAGAGAGAACAAACAACTGAAGCAAACATTTCCCTGAAAGCCATCTCAGCAAAATACAAAAGAACATTAAATCAAACAACTAGAAATACCTGGCAAGAAAAAACAGAAAGCCTCAACTTGGACAAAGAGGGAAATAAATTGTGGAAATTAGTAAAAGCCATGAACAATGAAGGGCCTAGTAACAAACAAATAACTATTAAACAGGGTAACAACATACTAACAGGAAAAAAGGCTGCAAATACACTGATGGAGTGCTATGCTAGTGCAAACCACATTGATATCCTAAGAGAACACAAAAAAGCAATGAAAGAGCAACGGACATGTCAAAATAACACAGAGAAATCAGAATTTATGATGGAAAATCTGAATATAGAAGAGCTGGAGCGGGCAGTGAGTTCCCTGAAAAAGAAGAAATCACTAGGGAAGGATGAGATCACAAATGAATTGATAATAGGACTGTGTACTAAGGCAAAAAAGCAAATACCAGCAGTCTTTAACTGCAGCTGGAAGAGAGGAATAGTCCCTCAGGCATGGACTTATACCAGTCCAGAAGAAAGGAAAAGACCCGGCAGAACCAAATGCATATAGACCAATCAGCTTACTTAGCTGTGTAGGAAAATTGATGGAACGCATTAAAAATAACAGATTAATGGGGCAACTAGAAGAAAAGCACCTACTAACTCCACAACAGGCAGAATTTAGAAAGTACAGATCCACTGAAGACCAAATAACATATATAGCCCAGGAAATAGAGGATGCCTTTCAAAAGAAAAAACACACACTAGCAGTGTGGGTAGACTTTGAAAAAGCATTTGATAAAGTGTGGAAGGAGGGACTCAAAGTAAAACTACAAAAAATGCACGTTTGTGGGAAAATGTACAACTGGATCAGTCACTATCTTGAGAATAAAACTGCCATGACAAAAGTACAAGGACAAACTAGCAAAAAAATGTTGTTAGAACAAGATGTATCCCAAGGGGGAGTATTGTCACCAACATTGTTCTTAGCATATATAAATGACATTTCAAGTAATTTTCCAACCAGAGTACACACCTCATTCTTTGCAGACGACTTAGCTATATGGACTAGCGAAGAACATATTAGTGTAGCCAACAATAGAATGCAGCAAGCCTTGTCAGTGTTAGAGGAATGGTCAAAAACATGGCTAGTGAATATCAGTGAAGAGAAAACAACATGCACTGTGTTCTCCCTCTCAAATAAAAAACAGCCAGTTAAGCTAGTGGTAAATGGAAAAATACTGCTCCAAGAGAACAATCCAAAAAACCTAGGTGTCACATTTGATTGCCGCCTGACATGGAAGACACAGGGAGAAGCAAGTCGAACAAGAGCAAGGCAGAGAATGGCAATCATAAAAAAACTTGCTGGCACATCATGGGGAGCTGATGGGAAAGTTCTCAAGAAACTATACACTGGACGAGTAAGGCCAGTCCTTGAATATGGTATTGCAGCTTGGGCAACAGTAGCAAACTTTATAAAAATAAGTCCAAAATCAAGGAATGCGGATTATAACTGGGGCCATGAAAACAACGCCTATTAATGAACTAGAAAAGGTCACAGGTCTGCAACCAATGGAGGATAGGAGAGACAGCAGAGCCCAGCAGAAAGCAGACAAATTTAGAAGGCTGACAGATCACCCCATGTCTCAAAGGTTTAATCATCTGAGAAGGGAAAGACTAAAGCGAAAAAACTTTGTAGAGACTGCAAAAACTAAAATCAGGGAAGATCCTGTACTTAACTTATCAGAATCCAAACCCGTCCACATTAAATATACGCTCCCTGCTTGGAGACAGCAGCATCTGCCTGAATTGATAGAAAATATTCCTGGTATTGAGAAAAAGAACACTCAGAGTGAAACAGAAAGAAGGAAAATCCCATTAAACTACTTAGAAAAACAATACCCAAGTAACACCTGGTCTCATGCATATACAGACGGATCAGCAAAAAATTCAACAGAAAATGGAGGTGGGGGAATCTAAAAAATAGATCAAAGAAAACACAGTCAATTGCAACTGGAAAGTTCTCAAGTAATTTTAGAGCAGAGGCAGAGGCCTTGAGAATTGCAGCAGAAATGCTTCTGTCAGAGAAAAATAAAGAGGAATACATAGCTATCTTCACAGATGCAAAGTCAGTTGTCTCAGCACTGAAGAGCAAAAATGATACAGAAATAGCAGATCTCAGAGCTACACTCCATGGACTGAGTCAGAAATCAAAAAGAGTCATAATACAATGGATTCCATCCCATTGCAACATACCTGGAAATGAAGAGGCTGACAAATTGGCAAAGGAAGGTGGAAGACTACCACAGCCTGATATAGACATAACATATGATGAGGCCAAGAGGTTTATAAGAAGCACTTATCGAATCAAATGGGATATTGAACATCCAGGCTACAAGAAGGATGATACATACTACCAACTTGGCCGAAGAGAACAAGTAGTGATCTTTAGACTCAGCACAGGACATAATAGGCTGAAACACCGCTTGTTCAATAAACTAAAGATAGGAGACAATGATGATTTTAACTGTGGAAAGGGTAAAATGACGGCTAAACACTTGCTGCAAGAGTGTCCAATTTATGCAGAACAGAGAAAATTATTCTGGCTAACACCCGCAACTTTTGAGGAGATGTCAACAACCTCAAGTTGACTGCTGATTTCTTCAAATATATCCACACCCACATCTGAAGGTATAAGAAGAATAAAACTCTGGCATTCTCTGAGCTGATAGTCCCTAGAGATGCAGAGCTCGTAAACCACGTAAAACTATAGTGGATGAGGAAGCTGATAGTCCCTAGATATGCAGAGCTCGTAAACCATGTAAAACTATAGTGGATGAGGAAGTCCACTGCAGTAAAAGTCTAACATGCAAAATACTTATTTTGTGGTGTAGGTAAATTAAATTCTAGGTCTGCAGGCTGCATACTGTTGGCTACAAAAGAGATAGCTCATGGTGTATGAGATGTTGAATATATGGAAGTGAGGTTAAACAGTCATGAGCAGGACATGACGATTCCTTGGGTGAGCCCAGTACCAGAGCACTATGTATTAGCTCTGCACTTGTGGAAGCCTCGAAAGGAATGCTCATTTTCTGCCCCTGCCTTATGTGGCTTCTCTGGACCAGCCTGATTGGAACACCACCTGTGACCTGGGAAATAAAGATGACCACACAACAATGAGACTGCCATGTCCTAACCGGGAAGGCTAACCCGGTCAACAAATGCCCACAGAAGTCGGATGTGTTGGCCGAAAGGTGCAAATATCGCAGCCATGCTGTAAACGGACACAACGCAATTACATCTTTGGATGAACGCAGAAGAAGAAGATACTAGATAAAGTCGGTACAGAACCAATTATAAATTACATACAAAGACAGCAAATCAGATGGTTCGCCCACTTGGAGAGAATGCTTTCTGATGCTATACCATACAAGGCATATACCAAAAGTGGAGAGGAACGTAAAGCAAGAGGTAGACCAAGAACAACATGAAAAGATAACATCAGAGAAACTCTACAGCACCACGATGTGTCTATAGTTGAAGCAGCCAGAAGAGCATGAAGCAGGACCTTATGTCTCCTTTGACACCCGTAGGGGTAAAACAGAAGTAAAGAAGAAGGGACTTCGAGTTCCACAGTTTTCTCTAATATTTTTTTTTAGTTATGGCCCTTGCCGTTCACAGCTTTTTCTGGCTAGTAGTTATTTTCAGTGGTCACACGTGTGTCAGCTGACCAGACATGTGGGTTTTCTCAGAGACATTTCAGTTAAGTGATTTGTGTCTGTTCTTGTTCTGTTTGTTAGTATTGCATATTCATGTAATGTGCTGATGAAGACTTCCTAGCCATAACTTTCCCTTCTCATATCTGTTTGTGAAAATGTGAAGCTAACTGGTTCTACTTTTTGTTTGGTTTGATATCTTTTTGACATTAGTATTTATGTATGTTTGTTAATCAAAACAGATAGCTGCAGCTTTGCTTAAGCTGTGCTTGACTGAACTTTTTGTATGGAGGTTTATGCAGACAGATCCCAACTGGGCGAACTTCTTTTACAACCCAGCAACAGATAAGGTTAGTCTTACTTAGTTAGAAACTACTTTTTTTTTTTGCTGCTCTGAAGTTAAGTTGAATGAAAGATTAGATAAAAGCTAATTTAATTTTTCTTAGTCTTTATGTCTTATAGAATGAATAAGAACAAGCAATAGAATCAGAGAATCGGTATAGAAAGAAGGTTATTATGGCCTGGAGAGAATGAGGCACCTATTTGTTACCAGAGTGTCTGGCCGGCTCACTACTCTCAGAAGAAAGGCAAGACAGACATAAACATAAAACCAGATTGTGACCAGTACCATCAGTATTGGAACTCTGCGCTGGCTGCTGAAGATGAGGACAGATCATGCATGGGAATACGCTGAGTGCTGTGATGTCAATTCTTGACTCAACTCAACTGAGCTCTAGAATGAATAAATCATTATAGCCATGAATCTCTTGTGTGGGCGGGTATGAAAAATGCTTCATTAATTTTCCCCCCAAAAAAGTATTTTTTGGATGGTCATAAAACCAGGGTTATATGGAGTGGCTTGCTTAGATTGCTTATCTCCATCTTTCAGCTGAAGAACCTGTGTAGCTAGATGTAAAAAATATAAGAAAAACATGACATACGTGTCAGCTTTATAGAGTCAGTTACAATAAGCAGAGACACTGCTGTGATTAGTTTTCATCAGCAGAACAAAGATAAGAAACAAAAATTAAATGACTCTAAAATTGATACATTATGATATTCAAATATTGTGTAAAACAGATATAACAAAATAATAATAAATGACAGAATGATAAAATATATTTGATGCTCACCTGGATTGCAGGAATGTTCATTTAGAAATCCATCATCATGAAGCAAGTTACATTTCCTTATTTTGTCAAGTTTATCCAACCTAAGCAAGCATTGTTTGGAGTTTGCTTTCTCTAGCTTTTCCCTCTTTGTTTGGATACTGTCCTTTGACACCCCACATTGAAGATTACTGATTTGAGAATCGACATCATAGCACACCGGCCATACTCATAAATGCTCCGTCTCCGACAGCAAATGATGTAAGGTGTAGATGCTAACTGTTCCTGTAGCACACTGATTATCATCATCATCATCAGGTGCCTTGCCGACTGGCGTGGGCGATCATACCTCTCCATAATCCAGGATCTCCTGCAGCATGTATCAGTTCGTGTGCCGACACACCTCCATTCCATGCAACAATACTATCAAGAATCTTCTTTCGTTGTCTTCCTCTATCCCTCCTTCCACAGATCTTTCCAGTGGTCGCAACATGTTCTGTTTTCCCTCTTCTCATAACATTGCCAAAAAAATGATGACTGTCTCCTTCTGATGTCTGTGATAAGTTGTCTTTGGGCTCCCACCTCTTTTCAAAAGCATTTTTCTGTAAAACCACACATCTGAGGCTTCAAGAAATTGTTTGGCCTGCCTACCGATTGTCCAGGATTCACAGCCATATGTTAAAACTGGATGTATGTAGCAAGTAAGAATTCTTTTTCTAACTCTCAGTCACAAGGATATTGCACAAGATGTTCTTCATTTTATAAAATGCAGTTTTTGCCTGTCCAATTTTGTTTCTTGTCTCAGTTATACATCTTCCATCTGATGTTATCCATGTGCCCAGATACTTAAATTTCTGTACTTGTCCCAAAATAACACCATCGAATGTTATTACACATTTAGGAATAATTTGTTTCTTTGATACCACCATTACTTCTGTCTTCCCATTATTCAAACTGAGGCCCATTCTTCCACTTTCTAACACCACAGTGTCTATCATTTCTTGTAGTTCTTTCTGACTTGTTGCTATCAAGACTGTGTCATCAGCATAACGTAGATTGTTTAAATTGTGCCCACCAACCACAATTCTGGGCATATCAATTAAAGATCTCATTATATATTACACTGATTATACACAGGCTGATCTCTTCCTCTCATCTGTCTTTCCTTGCCGGATCCACACTTAATTTCTCCTTCACACTTTCTTGCCCCATGTTATTTCATCTAATCTCGTGTCTTCTGCCAAAAGTTGTTCATTTATGGTCTTCAGAATATCTCCCTTGTCCAGTACTAGTGTTCTCATAGCTTTCGCTTTTGTAGCCAGAAAATCTGCTCTTTCGTTCCCTCGCACTCCTGCCTTTCCTGGAGAGTATATCCATGTGATTCCCTGCAATGTGGGCGTAGTGATGCATGGTATCCACTCATGCCACATTAGTCCATTTTAAATCTTCCGCAATGCCAACTGAGAATCACACACAATAATTCCTCTGGTGACTTTGTTTTCTGCTATCCACTTCAGAGCTGCAGCGATTGCCTCCGCTTCTATTCTCATGCTTGACGTTGTAGATTAAAAAGCTCCATTTTGTTCTGCCACAATTTTTCACTTAATTCTAGTTGAAAATCTCCAGCCAGATCTTACACCACGATGAACAGAACCACCCATGTACACTCCTGCAACGTCTTGTCCAGCCTTTCCATCTATCAGTTATTGTACCTCTAATTCTGCCATACCATTACACCACTCTCTACATTCTCCTCCTAACGTGATAATGACATGATGGAATCTGCTGTTGTGGGTGTTCGTTTCGATCGATTCCTGCCCCCTGTGTATTTGCTTGACTGAGGCCACCATCTCGATGGTATCTTCAGCTAGTGCCATCCATGACTTTCCTCTTTTCAACCGGTCTTTTCTTAAATCATTCAAATTACCACGCAGAGGATGCCTTTCATCATTAGTAACTCGCTTATAAGCCTTTGCTTGCACCAGTGACAGTCTAGACTTTACCAATGTCAGCCCAAGCATATACCCCATCGTTGTAATTGGAGTGTCCCGTGTGCAACCCAAGACGATTCTCATTCCTTCATTTTGAATCCTTTCAAGCTTTGTACACTATGAAGTAGATAGGGGTTAATTAATATGCCTAGGCCATAATCGATTACAGAAAGGACCAAATGGTTGAACACATGAAAGATCCTACCCCAAGCTAAGCTACCATTGGCCTAGATTTTGGAATAACTGAGACACAAAACCTGCTACCACAGAAAAGGTTTATGAAAGATTTATTCAGTTTTGAGATTTCAGTAGGGACCCAGCGTAGCAGAGAATGAACTTGAAGAGTTAATGACTGTGTCCTGGGAATGGTCAGCATCTGCAACATTTGCTTTGGAGGGCACAGACCAGAACAGGACAATGTCAGCAAGCTAGGTAAAAACCAGTCCAGGATCTTCAGACTCAGAACAGAACAATGTGGCCTCCCTTCACATCTTCATTTAATATATCTTGGGAGCTGTGATTTGCAACTGTGGAGCACCAAAACAGACTCTGTAGTTCTCCACCAGACTTCCCAGAATTCAAATGGTGACATAATTAATCTTAGGTGTCATTCTCAGTGGTCGGTAGTCGAGGTTTCAACTTCATTGCAAACGGGTTATCCCATCATTGCATGCGGGTCACCCCATCATTGCAAACGGGTCACCCCATCATTGCTCTGTTAGGGTGTTAGTGAAAATCACTAAATCACCTGTCACTGTTCCATTTAAAAAAATGATCACAAACAATTAGTTGTAACAAAACCCAGACACATGCACTTGCAGCAAATGCATAAGACAGTTTCTAGAGGCGCCAACACCAACAGTCGCCACCAGAATTGCAACTACTCATTGGTAGAAGTAATCGCAACAAGCTGATCATGCACATGCAATATTGCATACAGTATTTTGCCAGCCTGAATGCAAACCTGTCGTCCGCCATTTTCAGAATATCACAAAATAAATCACCACGGGTACAGATGAAAGGCATTCCCCATTAAATAAACAGCTCACAGTGTTGCAGCAAGCACTCAACTCATTAGCTTAGGCAACAAAACTGTGGACTCCAGTGCATATGTGGAAACTGCATTTGCAAACTGTGGCCAGAAGCAGTCATCACTTCAGGGCCATAAAGAACTACCAGCATATCCGAAGTCCTCAAATCAGGTGTTTGTATGTCATTCCATAAGTTTATGATGTCATATTTTGCATGTTTGCTAACAGTGGTAATTTACCTTATCCCTCAACCTTATCTCTTGCAGCTCATTCTGCTAGACTTTGGTGCTAGTAGAGAGTTCAGTAAAACCTTTGTGCAGAAATACATCCGTGTTATCAAAGCAGCTGCTGATCGTGATCGACAGAAAGTGTTGCTTGGCTCACGAGAGCTTGGCTTTCTCACTGGATATGAGACAAAGGTTTGATTGTTTATTAAAATGACTTAAAACTTCTTCTGCTGTTTCTCCTTCATGTGAAGCATAAGCCTTCACCCAACATACGCTAACTTGTCCTATTAACTGCAGCTCATGCTTTGTCCTCCACATCTTATGCATCACATTCTATAATTCACCTAATTTTTGTTTCTTTTTTTTTGTGTGTGTGGTTTTTTTTACCTGTGGGTCCCAGTGACAGGACATTCTAGTTATATGTTTTATCAGCATGAATTCCTTCCATTGCCAGCATCTATTTCTCACCTCTTTTTTTTAATCTAGGGTACAATTTCCAACAGTAATTTGAAATTTGTTCTACCCAGTACAGTTTAGAAGAAGCCAAAGTGGTGTGGTGGTTAGTATTACCTGTCAAGACAGGTATTAATAATTATAAGATATTATTAATAATTTTCTGAATCCTATAGGGCATCATTAATTTTCCAGTGAGATTTCCTATCACTGTTGTTAAAGCCATGTTCAGTCTGCAAATTTATTATAAAGTGGTGAATTCATTTTAATACTTTGCTTTGTTATTATGCATAATATAGCTGTCTGGTCAGTATGGGATCTGTTTGGCCGAAAAAACTTGCCTGTTCCTCCAATTGCTGTTTATCAATGGCTTCTTTTAATCTGTCCAAATTTATCTTCCTAATTTATTTCCAGGAACTGACAGCAGCTTAATTCCTCTGTAGTTTTCACACTCTTGCAAGTCACCTTTTTTTTGGACATTTCACAACACATCCTTCTTTCCAATCTGCTGATATTTCTTCTGTCTCCCTGACTTAACTGAGTAATTTGTGTAGCAATTCCATAGATGTGTTTATGTTGCTCTCAATAACTTCTGCTGGGATATCATCTGGACCTGCTGCTTCCTCTTCCTCCAGTAGATTGATAGCTTTCCTAATTTCCTCTTTAGAAGGTATCTCACAGTTGATATTCAGTGCTATCTCTAAAGGCTGGATGTCTGGAGAAGCCTCTGGGCTGGTCTATTCAAAAGGTCTTCAAAATATTTAGACTGTATGTCCATTTGATATTCAGTGTTGGTGAGAAACTTTCCTTGACTATTTTCAGTTGTTCCGACTGGTTAACTGTATTTACCACATTACTTATGGTGCTGTAAAGGTCTCTGAGGTTCCTTTTTGCTGCTGCTGTATCCACTTGTTGTGCCAGGTCATCTATTTCCTTTTGTCTGCTCTTATTTTCCTCCTAACTTTCTTATTAGCTTTTGTGTATTTTTTGTGACCTCTAGCTTTAGGGTCTCTAGTTTTGCTATTGTTTAGATCTGCCTTTTTTTGCTTTCCATTTCTTCTATTTTTTTTTTAGGGTTTCCATTCTCTTTTACCAAGAATGTCTACACAAGATTCATTCAGAATTACTTTAATCTGTTTCCACCAGATTTGATGTTCACCACTATAGATAACTCTGAGTGCCAATTGGTCTGTAAAAATATGGGTGCTCTTCCCATATGCTCGATGCGCCTAAGGGCGTGTAAAGAGATCTTTACTTCAGATAACTGTTGCAGGACTTGGTACCTGTTTGAGACTCAACAAAAATGTTCTTTAACTTCTTTATCCCTGAGATATCCGACATTATATTGGTTTCTATGAATGTAAGATGTTATATATCTCTTGAGTTTCGACTTGATTTTACTTACCAACAGATAGTGGTTAGTAAACACATTAGCACCTCTCTATGCCCTAACATATTCAGGAGCGTTCAGTTTGATTGATTGTCTTATGGTCTGGTGATTCCCATGTTGTCTTGTGTGTTCATATGTGTGGGAAAATGCTTTCTCCAATAACATTGGTGAATAAATCTCCATTTTCATTCACTATTCCTAGTCAGTGTGTTCCCATAATCTCTTCATAAGTAAAAAAAAGTAAAGATCCCTTTTCACGCCTTTCGGCGCATCGGGCATATGGGCAGAGCGTCCCATATTTTTACAGACCATCAGCACTCTGTGGGTAATGTGGTCAGCATTACGCCGGCTGTCTTTACTTTCCCAGGACAGCCCATCCTGGTACCCATTTTAGGCTGGGTCGACCTGCGACGTCCCATACCACGATAAAAATCCACGCAGCCTGCAGTGGGTTTCGATCGCGGTATGCTGGCTTACGAGTCGGACTCGCAACGCCTTAGCCACGGACGCCGCGCATATAATCTCTTCATAACCTGTGTTATCTGATCTTATCTTCGCATTCAGGTCACCCATCGTATTTATTTTGCCATTTATTTTATTACTTTTAATATTTTGAAGCTGCATATAAATTTCCTATGTAACTTATTCATCCTTAACATTTGTTATAGCATAACACTGTAATAATTACATGTTCACTGTCTTTTGGTTGTTCTAAATGATGCTCTTTTTATTCTAGTGCTCACTGCTTCCCTGTTAGTGTCCTCTCTGCCTCTTTCAATAGCATCAGGTCCATTCCTTGACTGTGGGGAGAATTGTTCTCTGTATGGCCTGAAAACATTATTGTTTCACTTGAATTTAGCATACTTTTCCCAACTCCAGTCCTAGTTTTGCATAATCCTAAAATATCAATCCTGTAATGTTTTATTTCACTTACTGCCTCTGCTGCCATTCCCACATCGTACACAGTTCTAACATTCCAGGTGCCAGTTCTGGAGAATTTTCTAGGTGAAAGGAGGTGCACTGACAGTCCGTACCCCTTCCAGTTTTCTCTGCTCCACATCATCATTCTTCTGTTAAGAGAGCTTCCCTATCTTGGTTGGCAAGGTATTTCTTGTTTCTCTTTTTGACTTTTCTGTAGTTTTTGTGGCTTTTTTTTTAAACAGTGCGAAGTAGCTAACCCAAGCCCAGGCCTATCCTTAGTCTCTCTCCTTGATATTTTGATTACTCTTCAAAAGTTCTTCAGTTGTTTTTTTTCCCCAGGAAATCTTTCTGTAAGGTGCATTGTTATTGGTTTTTTCCTTCATTAGTTATTTTTTGTTGATGTTCTTCATCTTCTTCTTCATGATCACCAGCTGTAAACTCTGACAGAAAGTTCTGGTTGTTCATCCTTTTCTAGACTGTAGTCCCATTGCAGAACCTGCTTGCATATCCATTTTACAGATCTCCTTCTTCTTTGCGTTCACCGGCTGTAAACTCTGGTGGAAAGTTCTGGTTGTTTGTCCACTTCTGGACTGCAGCCCTGTTCCAGAACCTGAGTGTGGTGGTGGTTTTTTTTTTTTGGGGGGGGGGGGGGGGGGGGAGTGTTAGACCCACTGTCCCCCTAACAAGCATAACAAGCGTGCCCTAAAAGGTGACACATTAGGGATTTGCTGAAATCGGATGTGGTGGGCCAAAAGGTGCAGATATTGCTGCCTAGCTGTAAATCACAATGTGCCAACCATCTTTTTAACAGCAAACACAAGAAAAATTTGACTGAATATTTTCTGTTTCCAGGTAATGGAGGAAGCTCACTGTGATGCTGTTGAAATTTTAGGCGAGGCATTTTCTGATGAAGTATTTGACTTCAGCAAACAGAACACCACTGCACGTATTCAGAATCTCATTCCTGTAATGATGAGACATCGTCTGACTCCGCCACCAGAAGAGACCTACTCTCTGCACAGAAAAATGTCAGGCTCCTTTCTACTTTGTACCAAGCTGCAAGCCAAGGTGGACTGCAAGACAATGTTTGAAGCTATCTGGAATAATTTTGAATTTGATGACAATGATGGTCTGAATTTATGACATGCTGAATTTATATCATGTTGCAGCACTGATTAATATGCATTGGATGTTGAACAAAATATATACAAATAAAGTGTAGTTTTATAACTTATGAGGCATGTGAGCCCAGTAGTTAGTATACTGGTTTACTAGCACAATAATCCAGAATTCAAACCCCACAAGTAGCAGGATCTTTTAGTTGCAACCACTATGGCCATGTTTTTTGCCATAACCCCCATAAATGGACACCGTACATTTCTTCTTCTTTGCGTTTACCAGCTGTAAACTCTGGCGGAAAGTTCTGGTTGTTCATCCACTTCTAGACTGCAGTCCTGTTCCAGAACCTGAGTGTTGCGTGTGCATCCGTTTTACAGATCTGACTCATTTGTACGCAGACTGCTTGTTCCTTGCCTCTCAGGCAGATGCACTCCGACTTTGAAGGAAGCTCTCAGTTAGTCGACTCTTATGACATGCTTTTGGGTAGGCACTGGGTCTATTCTTGTTTTCCCTATAATAGGGCCATGGAACCCATACAAGGAACTGTACATTTGATTGGAAAGGAGAGGCACAACCATCCCCTCTACCCACCCCACGGACTGGAGAAGAAAATGGATAACAGAACACTGCTGCTCTTTGATGCATGTCAAAAGTGGGGTGGCCATCTATAAACATGTCATTATGGCATTACTGTGTTGGTCTACACCGTGATATCACATGCTTAGCACTCTTGACATCCTTAATAACAATACTGACTGGTTACAAGAAAATGGCATGATTATTGTAATTTCTGTCATACTTTACTGTTTTCATTTGAAGCTCCTTCATAGTCAAACATTGGCTAAGAAACAAAATTTTCATTCTGCGTTATTCCGAAGATGTAAATGCATTGTGCCCCTTTACAACATGGCTGTAATATTTGCACTGTTTGGTCGACACATTCGACTTCTGCAGGCATTTGTTGCCAGGGTTAGCCTTTCCAAAGGAAATTGAATTAACTTTCTAACTCATTGAAACAAAGGAAATAAGTAACAGATGTATGGAAACTAATGAGCCCTCTGGTGCTGTGTTTGTAGTGAATGATTTAAAGATAGGAATTGCTTTATGCTAGCCTAATCTTGTAAATATCATTTCATGTCTTATTTGGAAGATTAGTGCCCTTATCATTTAAGCTTCAATACTGTGTACATTTAGGAAGCCCCTAGGGTGTAGTGGCTAGACACTCTCCTGTGGATCGGAAGGTCGTGGAGCAGGTCCTGACTGACTTAGACTTTTTTCAAAAGTGACCTTGGCTCCCAAGTCGACCCAGCCTGAAGTGGGTACCAGGAATAGTCCTGGGAAGTAAAGGTGCTGATTGATCTGTAAAAATATAGGTCTAGCCCTATCTGTCTAGTACGCCTGAAGGCCGGAAAAGGGTTCTTTACTGTGTAGATTTAAGATCTGCAATGGCTCAGTGGCTGGCCCACTTGCCTACCTGCCCTGTGTTCATGTGTTTGAATCCCCATCAAGGTGATGAACCCACACTGGGAGATGTTAGAGAATGTTAGAATGTTATAAGTAGTAAAAGGTTGCTAGGATTATACAAACCAGATTATCCATCAAGTGCAGATTGGTTTCTGAAAATGTAGGGCTATAACCCAGTACACCTCAGTGCATAGAAATGGTTCCTGTTACTGTAATTACTGTGCAGATGAGGCATGTCAGGCTGAGCAATTAGAATGCTGGGCTTGTTTGGGAGACCCATGTTCGAATTCTTAGTAAGGTTATGAGATTTTGATCTGTGGGTCCTAACCTTCAGTCTCTGTAGGGACTGCACTAGCCATGTGGCCCTAAACTGCCCAAAGAAGTGGAATAATGAGAACAATAAGACATTTTTATTTGCTACACAGATTGCTTTATAATTTTGATTTTCACCCATATGAAAAGATAATAGTCATTTTACAGACGGGAACAACTGAAGGATAAAAGTCTACAATGTTATCTAATTCTAAGACTACTACACAATTAAAATAAAAATTTACATTGAATTCTGTTTGGTTGCATTTTATTTCATCTGTCCACATTTTGGTTACTGTTCCTGATTTATTATCTGTCAGTGTATTTAAAAATAAAGTGCCATGTCAGGGTGCGGAGGCATGTGTAAGATAAGGCAGAGAAGTGTGTACAAGGTTTGTAACCCATCCTGACATATTTTTCATTATGGCTGCTCATCAAGGTTTCTCCCAAGTCCCTTATCTGAAATTTCACTTTTCATCAAGTAAATAACTTTAAGTTGAGAGAGAAACATAAAAAAGGGACAAAGATAATTAGAATTTAATGAGGCAAATAATATTCTGGTTTCTCTTAATGATATCTCACTCCAAGATTTGGAGTCACACACCTACCTATTTGGGTGGTAATTTAGGTAGAGAGGGAACTGATGGAGAGATTAAAATATGAATACAAAAGGCAAGAGGATCTTTCAAAGCACTAGGAAATTTGTGGAGGTCAAAATAAATTAAAGCTAATTCCAATTCGTCCAACAAAAATTCCAAATTTGATCCTCTTTCAGCCGCCCGGAGGCCTGCTATATCGAAGAAGGTTCCTTAGCTGTCTTATATGGTTTCCGTTTATTTGTGGTGTGTAGTCACACCTGATTTTACGGTTGTTTGCTTCCTTGCTGTGCTGCGGTGATTGTGGTTTTTGGTTCTGGTGTGATCCAGATCTCTTTGTGATGATATCGACGGGTACTAGCTGACTGTTGCTGGTGCTTGGCTTGCTCGTGCTGGTCGCTGTGCTGGTGCCCTGTTGCTGCTTGGTTGCCGATCTGTAAGCCGCCGAAAAAAGCCAAACAAACATCGGTCCACGTCGTTATAAACAATGTTCCCTTTCAGGACAACCAGGGCCATCACAATCTGTTGTTGTGATCGGCCCGTTTTTTTTTTCCACGGAGTGTGGAGAAGTAGTGGAAGTAAGATAGACTGCAAATGAGATATCAGTTTGCACATCCTAGTAAACCATTACACAACCCTAGGTTCGATGACATACTCCCAGCTGCATCCAGTATTAGGGTGCACCAAAACGCCTCGTCAAGTCGGCCCGGGTGGAACAAATCCCATAATAGGCAAGGGCGCTATCGCAGCCACAGCGAACAGAGACAACCACCCCATAGAGATCAAACGTCCAAAAAGCAGGGTGAACATTATCAACCCCGTTCATCTCCTTGTTCAATCTGTTTTCGTGGAGACACAAAAGTCCCGATTGTCCCCGCAACCGACACAGGAGAGATGATGATGATGGTCCATCATCACGAGGCAGGTTTCAACGCAACACAGGTCCCATAAGGTGCTATGTCTGCCGGGGTTTCCATAAACGTTCTGATTGCCCAAGGGTTGTGAACAGAAATGCTAATTCCGCGCAAGCAGTAAACACAGCGATGTCAAAAAAAGTGACAAATGTAGCGGACGGTCAGGTTCGAATCCGTCCCGAAATTGTTTACCCAGCGCTGTCCGCTGTACCACTGGAGGCTGGTTTACCTTTGCCTAATGGTTATGTTGGAAACATAAAATCTAAGGTATTACGCGATACAGGTGCCAATGTGATAGGAGTGGCTAGATACCTAATGCCCAAATCGGCAAACTTAGGTCGGTATTGCAAGTGTCGTACTTTTGGTGGTCGTCTAGAAAGATTTCCTTTAGCAAAAGTCTATTTAAATAACCCGTATTTTGAAGGTGTTGCCGAAGTGTGTGTTTTGGAGAGACCGTCAGCAGACGTACTCCTTGGATCAGTTTCAGGAGCATAGATGCCCTCGCGTGAGGAAATCGAACGCTGGTATAAGGAAAATGAGGGTGTGACTGAAGCTAATGCTGCAGTTACACGCGCTCAACAGAGAGTAAGTAACGAAGAAGCCACACCTGCGTTACAGTCAGCTACTTCGAACGAAAACCAAATAGATATAACATGTGGGATAGCTAGCGAAGAAGCACTGAAGAATGAACCAGAATGACCAAAAGAGCTTGGAAACGAACCACACGCACCGAAAAAAAAAAACAGTTTTGCGATACAACAACTGGCTGATCTTACCCTCACTAAATACTTTTCTAGGGCAGAAGTAACCGGTGTTAGAACATGTAAGCAAGGTACATGGCATTTTTATATGAAGAATGGAATTTTAATGAGATATTTTAAATCACCTGTTTTACAATGTAAACAATTAGTCGTTCCTGTATGTTATAGAACCGATGTTCTGAGAGTTGCACACGACACACCTTTTGCTGCACATTTAGGTATAGGTAAAACACAGAAAAGAGATCTTGCACAATTCTATTGGCCTGGTTGTTCCACTGACATTAGGAAATACTGTAGGTCATGTAAAGACTGTCAAATGATGGCGAGAAAGGATGCATCCCAGAAACCTCCTATTCAAAGGGTCTATCTTCCATGTCGCCCTTTCGAAAAAGTTGCTGTCGATCTTGTGGGTCCGCTACCGGTTGTTTCACAAAGAGGATTTGGATACATTTTAACATTTGTAGACATGGCATCGCGTTGGGTTGAAGCAGTGCCGTTACGTCATATCACTTCTGAGTCAGTAGCAGAAGCATTGATGCTTATATTCTCTAGAGTAGGTTTTCCTGAAACAATCTTATCAGATCACGGATCACAATTTATTTCAGAAGCAATGCGCTCTTTTGGCAAACTACTTGCTATCTCGCACGTTTTTTCTGCAAGATATCACCCACAATCAAATGGGCTAGTAGAAAATTTAAATGGTAAAATAAAAGCTATGCTAGCAAAAGTTACTACTCAATTTCCAACAGACTGGGACAAATACCTTCCTGCGGTATTGTTCGCGTATCGTGAGGTGCCCCAGAGCAGTACAGGTTTCTCACCTTTCGAACTTATATATGGTGCTAACCCCAGAGGTCCACTGTCGCTGTTAAAGGACGTGTGGATCGGTAAAGGTGATCAGGAAGCGCCTCAAACATATATTAAATTCGTGACAGAGTTACGTCACAAGATAATGACAGGTTGTCAAGTTGCACTGG